GGAAAAAATTGAATAATCAGTTAATCGAACCCTTTGAGATTTTGGACAGAATTGGAATATCTGCATATAGACTAGTACTACTTCCAAAACTATTCAGAGTTCATAATGTCTTTTATGTGTCGATGTTGTGCAAGTGTAACTCTAATCCCTCGTATGTTTTATCTTACAAGCCACTTCCACTTCAGGGGATTTATCTTATGAGGATGTACCAGTTAGTATTTTAGACCAAAGGAGTAAGGCGCTTCACTGTAGATAAATTTTTTTTTTATCAAAGTTCTATGGCAAAATCACTCGCAAGATGAGACCACTTAGGAGTTGGAATCAGATTTTAGGGCTAGGTACCCTCAATTATTTGACTAGGGGCAAACAATTTGAAGAACCAAATTTTTTTAAGAGGGGAGAGAGTTGTAACATCTTGAACCCGATATTTAGACTCGAAATAATGTAATTTAATATTTAAAATAATAATAAAAATTGTAGGATTTAATTTTAATTATTATTTTTAGATATATGAATTTTGAACGAATTTGTAAACAATTTTAGAAAGTAAGGCGTAACTGTAAGTAAAGAGGGGGTATATTTGAAAAAAAAAAGTTTGAAAACATGGGTCAAATTGCAAAAAAGAGAAGTATGGGTCACATAGGGTAGCCACGTCAGCAACATGACGAGTCAGAACGCACCACATGACAGACACGCTGACATGGGCTCCATGCAGACGAATCGTGTGTCAAGGCAATTGAACGGCCTGCGTTCACTCCCATGCGAACAAACGGTCTAGATTGATTTTTTAGATAAGTGTGATCGGATTGCCCACACGTATTTGATCGAATGGTCCAGATTTGTTTCCCTAATAAATACGATCGAACTACTGAGGATGATCCACGTGAGCTTAGATGGACGGCCCAAATTGAGGGAGGGGGTATTTAAACATTTTTCCAATTGAAACCCTAACTCTAGTCAAACACACCTCGTATGAGAAGAAGAAAAAGGGCGGCTAGAAGAGAAGCTCAGCCACTGGAGGACGTCAGCACCGTCGCACTAGAGACCCAAAATGCACCGATGTGCACGATTTTTCTTCTCATTCTTTCCATTTCTCCGCCCTTTGGCAGCCTAACACATTTTTTATACAAAATAACTGAAAACAACCACAACTCGCAAGGAAGGAATGGTAGAGCTCAGCTGAGCTGCTGCACCAGAAGGCCGAAACCGCCGGTAAACTTTAGTTTTTTCCCTCTTTTAGCAGAGAGACATCTCATAACCATGATTTAAATAGATTTTCACTGAGAACCAGCTGAAACTGGCCTGACTTAGAGGAGGAGCCGTTGGAGAATGAGGACCAGGTGGCAGAGCATGATAGCACCGTCGCGCTGGAACCCCAACCCGACCCCGTGAGATTTTATCTTTTGTTATCGTTTTCGCTATTTTGAGATACGTTTCGATCTTAGTAGAAAAATTCAAGAAATCTAAGAACTAAGAACTGTAGTGAAAAAGACTGTGTGTTGGACACCGAACTAGTGTAAGAATCTCTCACCCCTTTTTCTTGTTACGGTTAAATTGAAGTCAAACTAATAATAAATAAAAATTTTAGATAATTGGTGGCTCTTTAATTAATTAAGTACATGTTGCCATTGGAGCTAGTAACCAGTCAGTCTATGCTTGTTTTGTGTTTTAATTATATTAGTTATTTCTTTAGTCGTTTATTATGCTTATCTATTTACTGTTCTATTTATTTTAATTCATTCGCTTTAAATCTATGGCTAGCGCGATAAAGTTTCTTAATCTATGTTGTCTTGTTGTTCTATTGAATATGTTTTTGTCAGCATGATGGATGTTTATTTCACTCACGTACTCTGAAATATGAATTTCGTACTCATGTGTTGCTTGAAATATATATATACATGTCTTTTAAGGCTAAATAGTAAATAGAAAAAAAGATATGCGTGAATTAATGATGTTGAATGAAAGGAGCTTACTGGGTGTCTTGAAAAGGAGTGTACGGATTTGGTACATAGGGTGAACCCTACCGTAGGCGTTACCCTTAGTCGTACGAGACTGAGAAGTCCCATACCAGACGAGGTAGGAAATTATTTTAATTACGTTCATATCGGAAGAAAAAATTGAGGTAGCTGTGTGTTGTTGCACTAATTACCGGACATGGGTATGAGACAACCGTTTGATTATAGAGAAAAGGTTCGTGTCTACATGTAGTGGGGATCTTTATAGATCCTCAGCAATACCGGTAGGAAAAATGTAAAATGATAGAGATGAATGAGGTAAGAAATTTAATTTTGGGAAATAACAAAAGGTTAATTGTTATATGTCTTTAAAATGTATACTGTTAGATTGCTATTCTGATTCTTATCTTAATAAATGACATTTGAGGATTTACAAGTGAGTCGAGAAAATACTAACGTTTTTAGTTAAACGAATAATGAATGCACTAGTATTCAAGTTTTATTAAGAATGAGCTCCATTTATTATGTTATATTTTTTACAACATTTTGATTCCATATCAGTGGTAAGACGTTGATATTCTTACTAAATTAGTGTAGCTCACTTATTTATTATTAATCATTTCAGACCTAGATCTTGAACAATAAGAAACTAGTTAAGAGATTGTCTCTTCTTCTTCGTCAGTTTCGAGTAGAAGTTAATCATACTTGTTTTTCTTTATTATTAACTATTTCAAATTAAGACGACAAATACTCAGATCTTAAACAACAAGAAATTAGTTAAAAGATTGTTTCTTCTGCTTTGTCAGTTTCGAGTAAAAGTTAATTATATTTATTTTTTCTTATATTTTTTATGTTTAAGTTTTAAGGACATTTCTGCAACCCTATTTGACAATTTAGGTAAACGTGCAAAAAATGTAACCCTAAACTTTATTTGCTTTCGATAAATTATAAATTTCAGTGTTGTTTATTTGATCATTATTGAGTTATATATTCAAAATCCCTAATAGAGATCCGAGCTTTTACATAAATCAACATCAATTGAAAGTTGCTATAGAAGATGCTGTGTAAGAACTCCAACTGAATTCTTTATATACATATATTACTTGTTTTTAAAGATATTGGAGTCCCACCATGAAGAAATAGATGAATTTTAAATTAATAATTAATTTAAATATTATTTTAATTAAAAACATACATTTTGTTTTTAATTTGGTGCAGTACATGCAAAAATATATCATATATTAAGTAATATTCTTAAAAAATTATACTAATTGATCATTATTACTTACATAAAAATAAATTTGGGGGGTTTTTTTTTTTTCTCTACACTGCATATTCATTAAATTGATTTTCAAATATAATTTATTACTTGATTAATATTTTAATTAAAGAAAAATTTTATATGGGTAATATGGTAATTTTAAAATTTAATTTATAAAGAACATTTTAAAAATAAAAGGAGTAAGTATATGTTTTTAGAATGTAAAACTTTTGAAGTATAAATTAGACATGCCCGCGTCTAAATAAAAAAATCAACTACCTCCGGGCCCGGTCTAATTAAGTGATTTTGTTGCCATTAGTAATACATAAATACATACACAAATACATATATGTGTGTGTATGTATAATTAGATAAAACAAAATTAGGTTATCTATACAGTCAATAAAACAGTTGAGTTGGTTCAATTTGATTAATAAAATTAAAATATAAAAAAAAGGTAATTTAGTTCAATTTTTTAAATAGAAAATAAAAGATAATATAAAATGGCCATTTGCCGAAATTAATACTTAATTCTGAATGTCAATTTAATGGCCGCCAGACGGTAGCCGGTCAGCCATTTTTAAATATATATTTGTTAAAAGTGAGAAGAGGGGTCAGGTCGGGGAAGCCGATTCTGGTTTGGCATCTTAGAACTCGTTGGAAATTGGCTCATTATGGGTAAAAATATATTTATATTTATATTAATAAATATAATTAACATATATTATTATTATATATATTAACAAATATGTTTTATATTTATATTAATATAATAAAATAATCATGTTAAATTTGTATAAAATAACACATAGATTAAAAAAATTTAAATTTATTTTTGATTCAAAATAAGTTCGGATATCTTTTTTAAATGTACGAATCGAATTTAAAATTTAATAAAATACGTTTTGAACCCATCCCGATGTCATTCTTAGATTACATCTATATAGTTTGGTTTTGAAATTATTTTTGAAGATATATATATGTGTGTGTGTGTGTGTGTGAGATAACCATTGTTGGCTCCATATTTTCCTTCAAATGTATACTTTAATGAATGATTAGATAAAAGCTTATAATATACGTTATGATTTTAGCACGGACATTGTAATATAAGCTTTTATCTTATTGTATGATATTATATTGATGTTTGACGTTGGTTAAATCATGCATGCAATGTGTGCTTATAGTTTCCACCTTGATTTTTTATTTTTTATTTTTTTTATATCTATTTAAAAATAATAATTAATATGATAATAAATTACTAATATTTATGATCATATATATATATATATTTATTTTTTAAATTGACACTTTGCATATACGATTTTTTTTTAAAAAATTATCTTAAGAATGGTGATGTAAATAAATATCCAGCCAGGCCCAATAAGCCTAAAGCCCATAATCTTGCCACGCTAATCCCCCCTTTCACGACTACAATGTGCGCGGGAAAAACACGAGACGCCGGAAAAATACTCCAGAATTTTCAGTAACACGGGGCAGAAAACTTTGAGGAGAAGAGATTCTTGGAAGAGGAGAGCGATAAAAGGAGGAGATTTGAGGAATTTTCCAGGATTGGTTTCTCCTTAACTTTCCCAGAATCCAATCCGCATGGCGTTCTGACGAGAAGATGAGCCGCGCGCGGATCCTTTTTATCTATTCCAGAAAAAAAAAATGTGTTCTTCATTTCTAAATTTTGTCTGTCCAATTTCATTGCACGATCTACAAACCCAAAGCCCCACCACGAGGGCTGTCTTTCTCTCTACTGTACTGGGCTTATCGAACGAATATCCGGATTTGCTTGCCTTTTCTTTAGCTAGCGGTAGTAGCAAAACAAGATGTATGGCTTTGCTTGTGGAAGACTAGGGCCAAGGCTCTATCTTTAATAGAGGGGTGCTCCTGCTTGGTTTAAACTCCTTATATTTCTTCACTTTCATACATGTCTTGCGGCAGTCCTGTTAATGCTTCCAAAAGGTACAGGGATCGGTTTACTCTCATTCTTTCGAATACGTACTTAAGTTTCTAATTGCAGTGCTTGTTGATTAACAGGCCGTGCATGGAAATAGCGTGATAAAAAGGAATAGATAAGTTATTTTCATTTTAGATTCGGTTGCAACTATTATTCATTTGATTCAGACAGCAAATCTGATTTAGTTATGTTGAATTTGATTTGTAAACTGGCACAGTGGAGTGGTGAAATCTTGGTTTCTTTATACGCATGACCAAAATGAGCTTTTGGAATTTACTTATATCTTAGGCGTATTGTTCATAAGCGATGATCTTAGGTTTTGCGTATTTTTTAGTAAAGGATAGACGAAAGTTGGACCCTCGCATGGTGCGTAAACTGATGTTCGCCCCCAAACTGTTTGAGTAAATGTTCCTTTGAAATTCTAGTATCCTTGAAAGTGTTGCACCTTTCCAGCAGGATAAATATATGTGCCTTATGATTGACATAATGCTTGAAGTGGACTTTTTGTTGTACTGGCTTATCCTGCTGTTGAGAATTGAATAGGGACAATTTCTGATTCAAGGTTTCTGTTTTTTAAGTTGTTATCCTGCTGTTTTCAGTTGCTGCTAGTGTGACTTTTAGGTTTTTTATACTAACACTTGCATATTTATATCATGCTCATATAGTTTTAAGTACAGGAGATCTTTGTTCTCAAGAGACCATGCGAAATGTGGTTATTTTTTGGGTTTTGGTTTATATATATATATATATAAAGAAGCTTTATTAAAACAGAAAGAGAAGTGCGTCAATGGAGGACTGACAAAATCAACCAAAAAAAAAAAGAGAACAAAAAAAAGAGGAGGGAAGAAGCAAGAAAAATCAATAAAGAGCTGACCAATCTCTATGTAGAACAGACAAAAACTAGGTTTTGAAATGCCCATGCGCTTTAACCCACATTGAGACCTAAAAAGATAACCTGTTCTAAAGAAGCAATAAGGGGAAGAATGATCTGGGAAATATTTTTCTCTAACCAAATTATCCTCAATGCAGCTAAAAGGGCCCTATGCTACAAAGATTTGGCCTCCTTTCCTCCTACAAAGAGTAAAGAAATGGATGCCTCAATATGAGAAGCGTATACCTAGAAAGTTCAAAAGTATCAAACAAACATGTCCAGATGTTGCAAACCACATCACAATTCCAAAAGAGGTGGCTATGGAATTTTTGTAGCTTTCTAACACGTCACGAAAATCCTGGGGTACAAAGCAAGATTCAATATATGAGGTTGGGGTAAACTGTTGGTATAAGACCATAATTACTATTTATCTTTTCAATTGAGGGTTTCTTTGATGGCATTAACTTGGACTGACTTGTAGACATGCATATTGAATTTTTCACTGATTTAATGTCTCTGGCTCAATTCTCATTTAATTTTTATTCAATTGTTTTCTACTTTATTATTAGCACACTTATTGTATGTAGAATGAGATCAAATTTGTGTACTTGAATTATTTCTACCCTAGGTTGAATTCCTTGATCAAATTCTAAATACTGCTTGAGGGAATATAAGCTGGAATTCTGTTTCCTAAAAAGTACAAAATAGCGGCAAAAAGATTCAACTGTGAAAATAATGATCTTGTTTTATATGCCAAAAGAAATGGCATCGTCATACATACACAGAAAATATGTTGGAACATAAAAGATATGTTTATAGCAAGTATAAATCGTAGGATAAGAATTTAATGAAAATTTCCCTAATGGGCCATAAGTATTTGGACTACTCTACTTTTATGCACTGAAAAATATATGGTTATGTTAAAAGGATCATTTAATTTCTTACTCAGTTTATTCCAAACAGATGAAAGGATAAGGATATTGCACATAATGAAGTTTGCTATTTTATTCAACCATCCAAGTGCTGAACTGTGAAAGGTAATTAAATTTGACTTTGTTAACTTCAAATAATTCAATTTAAGAAAGGCTTTTAAATAAATGATTGACTGAAGCTTTTGGATGTCTTTTCTATTGCATTTCAGGCACATGTTCTATCTACTGTCAGATTGTTTTCTGCTTTATTTCTCTTGTGTTGCTTCAATGCTTATGAATCTGAAAAGAACCAGAAGATATGATATCATGCTCTCGATTTCTTCTTCCTTCAAACCATACTCAAAATCTCTTCCGATAATCTCTAGTTCTAACCCAAACCCAACTGAACCCTTGACTAAACCTCAGCTCAAAGCCCTGGTTCTCAGTCAATATTCTCATGGCAGCTTCTCCAACTTTACTCAAAAAGTCATCTGTTTACCCTCTGTCCTTCTGACTGCTTGCCAAAATCTGGCCAATGTTCTCTCCTCTCACTCATCACTTCTTCACTCTGTCTCCAAGTGCTTCTCCATCGAGGAAATGGGTCGTGAAATCAGAGAAAACGCGTTTGATATTGAGTCTCATTGCATCAAATTTGAAGGAAAGGAGAGAGGCAAGTCTCTGGTTTTGCCTAACTTAAAATTGAAGGTTTTGATTGAAGCTATTCGGATGGTACTTGAAGTTGTTTATGATGAGAGGTTTGTGACCTTCTCTTATGGTGGGCGTGTTGGTATGGGAAGACATACTGCAATTAGGTACCTTAAGAATTATGTAGAGAATCCTAGTTGGTGGTTTTCTGTTTCCTTTAATTACCAAAGTTTTAGTAAACATAATGTAGATAAATTGTGTTTATTCATTGGTGAAAAAATTGAGGACGGGATTTTGATTTGTATGATTAAGAGGTTATTTGACTGTGGCATGCTAAGAATTGATTTAGGTGGGTGTTACTTGGGGAAGGGGTTTCCTCAAGAATGTGGTCTGTCTTCAATTTTGATTAATATTTATTTTGATAGGTTTGATAAAGAAATTCAGGAAATGCGTCTTAAGATGACGCAGAACAATCCGAAAATTGATACAGATGAGCTAAATTGGAGATCTAATTTTTTCTATAAGCCAGTGAAGATGTATGCAGTTAGGTACTTTGATGAGATATTGATTATAACCTCCGATTCAAAAATGTTAACAATAGACTTGAAGAATAGAGTTTTGGATTATTTGGGCGGGGAATTGATGTTGAAGGTGGATAAAGTAAAAACGGCTATTCATAGTGCAGTTTCAGAGAAAATGAGCTTCTTAGGTATGGAACTGCAGGCTGTCCAACCTTCTGTTTTGCGTAAGCCTTTATCGGAGAAAGCAATTAGAGCAAGGAAGAAATATCTTAGGCAAAAGGAAGTTAGGGCTTTAGAACTGCAAAATGCTCGTGAGAGGAATAGGAAGAAACTAGGCTTGAAAATCTTTAAACACATTTTGAAGAAAATGAAGCAAAGTAATGGCTTTAAATTTGATTTCCAAATAGAGAATGAAGTTAGAGATATATTCAGGACTTGGGCAGATGATGTGGTTCAAGAGTTTTTGGGATCTGTAGAGGAATGTTCAAATTGGCACCGACTACTTACAAGTGGGGATTTTCTCGCATTGAGACACATAAGAAATCAATTGCCAGATTATGTCATAGATGCCTATGATAACTTCCAAGAGCAGGTGGACAAGCATTTGACAGTGGTTAAGGCTAGAAGGACACTGGAGAATGAAGAAAGGAGAGTAGTTGAAGAAGAGGAGCAAAGATATGTTGAGAGGACTGTGGATGATTTGACAACGCTCTGCATGAAAGTTTCAGCACCCATAGAACTTGTGAGGAAAGCTGTTAAGATGGTCGGGTTCACAAACAACATGGGTCGTCCAAGGCCTATCGGCATACTTTTTGCCCTGGAAGATACTGATATTATTAAATGGTATGCAGGTATTGGAAGAAGATGGCTTGAGTTCTTTTGTTGCTGCCACAACTTCAAGATGGTCAAAATTATTGTAAGCTATCACCTGAGGTTCTCCTGTATTTTGACATTAGCAGAAAAACATGGATCTACAAAAAAAGAAGCCATTAGTCACTTTGGTAAAGACTTGAGAACATTTGATATGAATGGAAATGAAGAACTGCATTTCCCTTCGGAAAGGGAGGTTAAGATGATGGGAGATGGGAATCTTTCTGATCCCAAACCTGTGGATGGGTTGTTATCTTCGTTTTTGATTAGGTTAGCATGTGATGAGCCCCCACATTCTTGTAGTGCTCATTTCTGTGGAAGAACTGATACTAGTATGTACAGAGTCCGGCCACTGCAAAACCATTTACACCTGAATCAATTGGATGAAGACAAGTGGGTCAGTGGGATGAGTGTAATCCATGAATGTCTGCAAAGGAAGTGTCTACCACTCTGTTCTGATCACATCAGTGATTTATATTTGGGGAAAATAACCCTTCAGGATATTGATTATAGTTCATTTGTTGATGTAGATTGAATTTCCCTTATGATTTGCAATGGATGGATATTATTTTGGTCCTTGCTGCATGAAGTGATATTCAGTCTTTTCTCTGTCCTTTCTGAGAAGAGGGATGAAAGTAGATACTTACATGTTTGTAGTATCTGGAATTTGGTAAACATGACTTTTCCTAACTTGTAGGCTGTGATCAACAGTAAAGAGGAAGTACGAGAGAAAGAGGCATAATATATTTAAATAATGTGTTTATAGTGACGACGCAGAAAATGTAAGTGGAAAAAGTTACTAAAAATAGTCAATTATATTTTCTTAATTTGGAAATCTGAAGCAGACTCAAAGTACCTAAAGTACATTAGTACAATTTGATATTTATCTTATATTTGCTCAAGTATTCTTAATATTCTCGTCATTTTAAAGTTGGCCAGATACTTTGGAGAAATTGTTTAACTAATGAATAAACTATTAAGTGCTCAACTATCACAAGTAAATTGAAAGATTCTGTAAATATAATTAATTTGTCATATATTTTTATCAAAAAATTATAAAATATTAAGTGAAATAATTATATTTATGGCAAATTTTTAATTCAGTTATGCTTCTGAAATATTTTAATAATTTTCTAAATTAAAATGGCAACTAATTTTTAGGAAAGAGTGTGTTAGAGAATCCAAAGGACCTGTTTGCAAAAAGAAAATTATATGTTTTTTGTTCCTCTGATGAACTGGGAGGAAGATGTTCCTTTCTATTTATTTTACAAGAAATGGAGAAGGCAGCTTTTGTCACTTCTCGAAAAGCATTAAACCTTGTTTTTTCCTTTCATGGCAATTGATGCCACAGAATGTAATGAGATAAATAATGTAAACATGATCAGACTCGTTTCTTTCAAACTAAGCGGACTGGCAGACGCTCGGACATGGAGTAAGCAGCTTTGGCACACGTAATCTATACCACTTTATTTGACAAGAAACGATAGATCTCATCCGCATAAGATTTTGGAACATAAACTGCATTTCTCAGCACGCTGTGGGTTCGGCTGTAAAATATATAAATCACTGCCCCCATAACCAACCATATCGAAACACGAATCCATGTTCCAACCCTGGTTATCCATCCAACGGGAAAAAAAAATTTTTATCATCAGATAATTCTTCTTGTATCAATTCATTTTCAGTATAAGTTAAACTATATCAGCGCTAGGGAAAGCTAATTGGCTGAATACTCACCCGAGGTCAATTAGTAAGTGGATGTTGATGAGAATGCAAGCAGCTGGTAAGAATGGAACAAATGGGCAAAGAAAACCTGAGAGCAAATCAAACAAGTACCCAAATTACAATTGTGCATGGAACTCTGATGGTAACGAGATACAGCTGAAAAAATAACGGCCTAGCCAGTTACTCTCCACCTCTCACCAACCAATAAGGAAAAATAAGGAACTTTTACCCACTGAAATTTTCACAAACTGCCCTAAGTACTAGCTCGATAACGTAAATAGCTAAAATGATTCCTCGTGCCTGACCTTGAGCAATCTAATGAGTATTACATAGCACGAAATAGGACATACCTCCGGCATGTCCAAAGCTGTGCCTTGCATCATCCTCGCCTAGGCAGGACAGAATGATCAAACTGCAGAACAGGATAACTCCACCAATTGCGCATAGCGTGAATTGAAAAAAGCTGGTTGAATCAGGAAAGTTGCAACAAAATGAGGCAAAAAAAAAAAAAAAAAAAAACTGCCTGTTGAGTTATTATGGGTTTAAAAGTAGATACAAACATAAGAATGGTTGCATCATGGTATCGCAAGTGCTTTACACAACCACACACAAGAAATCTACTAAGAGAATTATCTGAATATAGTGGTCTTCCATATGAAAGAAATTAGAGAGTCTTTTCTTTATAGACTAATGTGAATCTAATCTATAGGACATAATATTACTAGAATTAGTATGAGGAACTCCAAACCATACTATTACAACAAATACCAGGAAGACTAATATAACTTGAATAAAAGAATCAACTAAAATAAAATTAGAGATGCTCTTCTAATTTGACAGAAAAATAATCCCTAATCTACATGAAAAATCTAAGTAATTAAATCTCCTCCATCATCAATCATCCAATTGAAAGTTAGACAAATTTGGATATCAACCCCTGATCACAAAATGTTCCACAAGGCAATTGCTTAGGACACCTTTAAGCACATTAAACCCTAATGTATTGGTCAGTGGTTGTCAAACCAGATGTCATCACTTTCAGATTGAATTAAACAAGTCAAAGAACAAAAAATTATGTAACATAAACTTAAAGATGCTGAGAAGTCAATGGATTATTGTTTCATTTTGACGTGCTTGCATAAATTTTATCACATTTTTTTCTTTTTCTTGTTTTTTTAACGAACATATGGTTCTACATTAGATTCTAATTTTTGTTTAAAACCATAATTCTTATGCTCAATTTCATACCAAGTTACAGGTTTTTTTTTTTAAATAAAAAAATATATGTGCTAGCAATAAACATATAGGGCCTAAACTATACCTTCTGTCATGTAGTATCCCCTAAATTTCTAAAAGTTACCACTAGAAAGTAAGGCAAGAAATGAGCAGAAGTGAATACCGCCATTCCCCAATATGGTTTTGGAAAATTTTTCTATAAAAGAAATGCTTTAGTGGTAGCTAAGAACTGACTATATTTTTCTCTCCACGACCCATTCTATTGGGGTGTATAAATACAAGAGAATATATAAATAATTTATTCCTTGAAAGAAAGATGATAGAACTTCATCTATTATTGTGGTATCCTACTACATACAGCTTGTGGTGTTTGATTTATGTGCTTTTTGAGATTGATTGGGTCATTGCGGGCTCGGTTAGGGGTGATATTTGAGCTTGGGATGGTTTACTTGTAAAAAGAAACATTGCTAGCATGATCCGTTTGACTGTTTTTTAGGTCATCTGAAAAGAGAAGAATAGTAAACCTTTTGATAGTGTTGAGAGTAGATTAAATAGAATTAAAGATAGGAGGATACACTATTTTGGGTCATGACATCAATAGCGAGGTGAATTTTAAGAATGTCATTGATACTCTAATATTATTATAATTGCTGTTGTACATAGGCGATACCCCCGTTTTATTGGTTCATGTTAATAAATACTTAATACTTTTTATTTTTAAAAAAAGATGATAGAACTTGGTTAAAGTAAGGAAGAGGTATCGAGAACACAGGACATCATGTCTGCGGCAGAGCATCCCTTGTGTCTTTGGCTGTTGGTATGAAGATGTACACGTCATTTATCTTGAGTAGCATGGAATTCCATGTCCATGACCATAGAATCTTCTTTGTCCTAATCAATAAATTTTTTGTTTCCTTCTTTGAGTCTAGTGCCAAGTAACCAGTTGAATTTTCTCTTTCCTTCGAGGTACAAAAACAAAGAAGAAATGGAAATGGAGTCCTCTTGGAGGGATAAAGGAAAGTGAACAGAGTACTTCTTTCAGTAATTAAGCTGAATTATGACCAGTAACGAAGGTTAGAAACAACTATATGATTAAGATGGCTACAAAAGCCAAAAGCATGAAAGAATTCAAGAAAAGAACATTAAGATTTTGATACCATGTCGAAAATGTGGAAGTCTTCAATATCTTTTCTGAATAGAGAAACAAGAATTTATATAGTAGATATAGGTACGAAGTAATAAGTCAGAATCCCTTTTAAAGTCCAAATCCCCACAAATGAAGGATACAAGATAACTGTTCTGCTCCTATTGTGAAATATCTACAATTAATTCACAGCTGTCATACAGAGTTTCCTTCTATAGGAAAGCCATATAACTCCTTTACACAGTTTTGGATATAGATTTAATGATTGTTGATTCTTTGGATTGTGTCATGCCATGCAGACAATTTTTTTGTTCTCTTGTTGAATTCAACTGTTAAATAATTTTATTACATTATTTCAAGAGTTTAAACTCCTTCAGAATTGGAAAAGAACTAGGACTGCGATTCCTATGAACTATAATCAGATTTAGATTAGAACTTGGAATAAAACTAGAACTATAATTTCTAGAATTGTAATAGAGATCTAATTCAATTACCTTCCTATTAATACATCTATGTCATGAATAAAATTATCAAGCTATTGATTCAAAAAGTCACATGTAACTTTTTAGAAGTTTAAGGATAATAACTTTCAAAAGTTCAAGAGCTAATCCATAATGGAGAGCATAGTTCGGGACCAAATTAATACTAACTAAAAACAAAAATTACCAATAGCCTTTGTGTCACTTATTGTTGTGTCCCTACATTTCCATCTTGTAATGTGGGATTCAAGCACTAGCGGAAACAGTAATGTGGTCTATCCTCTTTTCTGTCTCGCATGTGTACCGTGAAATGGGTTCCAAATGCAAATAAAAAATTGAAAACAAGAATTAAAAGAGTTTCCAAGGATTACAAACCTGGGAATATCTTCAGCTGATGCTGCAGATGCAAGGACAAAAGCTCCAATGCACACAAGGCATATAGACCAAATTGCAACTTTTCGCCTCTTTTCGTGATTTTCTTCATCAGTTAAATCACCAGTAGAAAGAGAATAAAATTTTTTAAGCTGGGGCCATAAAGCTATAAGAATAAAGTGCCAAAGAGAAAAAGTAACAAAGAAGACTTATGGTACATATGGAGAAAGAGGAATAGGAGAAAATTTGGGGGTGTCTAATCTAACTTCACAGAAAATAGAGATAACTAGTTTCAAACCTTACATATTTTGTTCCAAGTTCACTCTATCCTTGGAGAACAAGTCTTAGGAGAGCTCATTGATTTATGACTTAGGCTCTTATGTAAAAGTTTCTTGTTTCTTTTTCTTGTATAGTTTTTGTAATTCTGCACCCCAATGTTTTTTTTCATCCTTCCCATTTTTCCTCTAAAGAATCATAATCAAGCATCGGGGATGCTTTATTATTGTCAAAGAATGTATTTCCTTCCATTCTCAAAGTAAAAGCAGGAGAAAGGAGACCAACATAGGCTGCGTTCTTTGTGATGAAGAGACATATATCAAAACCACCAATTTTTTTGTGCGCTTTGTTATTTTTTTCTTGGTATTTTGAGAACTCCTTAATCCACTTCATCTCTCCATTAAGCTATGAAATGTTGGCAATAATCATAAGTTTGCCCTTTCTCCCATCTATGACGATCTATGTAGTTTTAAAAATAAAAGGCAAATTACAAGCTTAATACTTTTGGTTTAGTTGTTTTCACTTTTAGTACATGAAATTCTTTTACAGATTCAATACATGTGGTTTCTCTTATATTATTTATATAAAACTAAGTGTTGTTCAGTCATTTTCTTTTAACCTTACTTCTTGAAATAAAAGTGTGAAGTATATAAATGTGATGGTGCCAAGGAGGCGCTACCCATGTACAAAAAAATTTACATATCTATGAGCATATCTATAATATAACATAAGTCATCCAAATTATCAAGGTTGTGCCCTGAAACAGTAGAACCAAAAAAGTGAAATCATTTATCCTTGATAGTGGCAAAATCAACCTCTTTACCCTCCAAAGCACAATTGTTCTTCTCTTTCCAAATAACCCAACCCATATAATAGTTAATGAAAGAAGTCTACAATTTTTATTTCTGTTGCACATCCCTTCCCATGCCAGTAGCTCAGTTTTAACAGACCCGGACACAGCCCAAGAGATCCCCAAGAGACCAAACACCATAGATCAGAGCTTATAAGAGACAGGACACCAGAGAAGCAAATGGTTGCAGGACTCAGAGCAGCATTTACATAGGAAGCATCTGTTAGCGGTGGTTAAATCTTTTCTCATAAGATTGTCTATTGTTAAAGTACGTTCTTTCACAGCTTCCCAAGCATAAAAAGAGATCCTTTGGTGGGGGGTTACCAGACTTCCAGATAATTTTAGAAGAGAAATCATGTTGATTGACTGTTCTGTAACCCTCCAGAAATTGATAGTAGGATTTAACAGAGAATTCACCATTTTTTTTCAAGTTCCAACATAATCTGTCATCATTAGTGCAGAGCTGAATATCAGTGAGTGTATGCAGCAGGTTAACATACTCTTCCACTTCCCAATCCTTTAAATTTCTGGTGATCATCACGTTCCAAGCCGAGTGACTGTCATTACCTAGAGCCTCTCTGACCAACATATCAGCCGAGTGACTGTTATTTTCTTTTAACCCGATGATTAATGTAACCTTAAACTTTCACATATACGTTTTTCTAAACAGAAATATGTGTAAATGTTCTCTTAAAAACTAGTAGTAGTATGTAAAACAACACACTTAACCTTTGAGTCAGGCAATACTTCTCCATTTCCAACAAGTAGGAGATAGGAAGTTTGGCTCTTATTTCGCGCAAGAGAAATATATTTATGTTGTACTTAAAAAATTAATATCATGTAAAATGACAAACTATGAAGCTGCATATATTTAATTCGTACAAAAAAACAAGCAGTGCTAAAATGTCTAATATATAGTATATGGGTTTGATGATTTGCTCACAAAACATAAAAGTCAAGAATATAATGCAGCTCAATCATCATTGAGTAGATAACTAGCAAGCATCTGTCACCACACCATTTATGCTTCAATATGATTAAAATATGAACTAGAGGCATCTAACTGACAGTACCTTGAGCTATTTGTTTCTCAATAAGAGGATATTCAATGGATGCTTCCTGATTGGCAAGTAAATGTTGGTTTCCACCGCTAGCTTCAATAGCTTCCTGGAGATTTGCACTTTCTATCTTCTTCATATCACTAATAAAACCAAGTGACTCTGAATCTATACACCATTCAAGTGATGATGGCAGTGGCACCTCATTCGGGGGAACATATCTAAGTATTAGGACTGAAACTGCAGCAGCTGTGAAGGCAAGCAGTGTACCTATGCTAACCTGCATCAGTAAAGAAAATTGTAAATGCATTACATTTCTACATTCTAATTTGTATCTTTATTCAAGGATATGTTCTTTCCTTTGAAAATCTCTTCTAATGATAGGAATATATTCCATAAAATCTATTGGAGAATAACCCATATATTCTTTTTGTATATCCTTAATATCCTATTTAGCAGGTTTTATTACAGTTAATATCTTCTCCAGTTAAATTCTATTATTATTGCTCTTTCTTATTAATAAGTATCTCTATAAATATATCTACTAGTTCTTCAACATAAGAAAAAAAATGACATTTCAGTTTATTCTTCTAGTATGAAATTAGAGCTTTAGTTTCCAGGATTCAGTAGCTTCTTCTAGTTTTGTTCTTACACTGCTCTTTCCATTTCATAGCCATCAACCATGAAAAAGAAAAGGAAAAAGAACTGCCTGGTTCCTAAAACAACAAAATTCAGTTCTATTTACTAACCAATTTCTCTTTATTGATAAAAAGCTACAACGTAGTTTCTATTCTATCCCTTTGCACATCAAACCTGTTTCTCCTCTTTTCTGCTTTCGTGACATTCTGCCATATTCTCTTGCAATGTTCTCTGTCTTTTCTGTTTCCAGTGTTTTTATTTGCTCCTGTTAAAGGGGAAAATAAGTTGTTTAAGTCTGTTTCATCTCCATAGATCTTAAAGAACCTAGGAGTCGAAGTACCCTTTCTAACATGACTTCATATTCCTCTTCTCTTTAGGATCGTTAATCTGTCAGGCAAAGGTCCAACTGCCAGATGCTGTCTCTCACATTGCTTGTTGCTAACGTGTGAATCTCATGTGCCATCAAAGCTCGTTTCTGGCAATCAATTTCTGCTTTTCTGGTCCACCTTGATGCTTTTTGGAGAATATGCCAGGCATTCTTTCTCTCTAATAAAGTTATTCTGGTATGGTGGCATCGAATGGGAAAAGGAAATTATTGGCTGCAGATATTCTTAGAATTTCTGCTGCTTTATTGAAGCTGTGGTAGTCCTAATTCGACCACTTATTGATGTTTATGGTTTTTCTTCAAGTGCACTTATGGTATTCTTTAGTGCTTGTGATCAGGAAGGAATGCTAATAAAGTGGAGTTTAAATAAGTGATCAGTTTATTCAAGGCTAGTTGTTTTTCTTTTTCTCTTTGATGAAGAAAAGACTATGTCAGGTTTTTAACCTATTTTGGTTACCCAATTAAAGGAACCTAACCGCTGTTAAATATTCATTCCACTTATAAATGTAATAAACTTGCCAAAATTTAGCCAAATTTGGTAATCGCAGCCCCACTAACACACTAATCAATTAAGTTTTTAATTTTACTGAATCAAACATTATATGCTAAACTACCGCCAGGTCATAATACACCAACAGTGTGGCAAACTTTATATCCTTAGTGAGTATGGTATATGCATTTCTAGTTAAAAAGGCTAGTTGTTGTAAGAAATAAAACAAAAAAAAAAGTTGTGAGAAGTTGTTGTGCATCTTAGATCTGGTTGACTCAGGAATGAAGAGTGAGGATTAATAGTTCAACAAAAGTTTGTTGTGAGAGCTTTTCTTCAGGAGTGAAAATGAGTTGCCCCAAAGAATTTATTGTGGTCAACCTCAAGCTTTCATCGAGGGAGAAAATTCATTTTCCAACAAAAGTTGTTGCTATTAATCTAAAACTCTATTTGGTTCATTTTCCAGTCAATTCCTAGTTAGTTCCTAGTTCTAATTTTCATACTTCTTAATATGCATAGTTAGAACATAACTTATTGTCCTTGAGTCTGCTCCTAGTGTCCCACCTCAATTCCTCAATAGTAGGAATTCAACCCCCATCTTGAAAGGTGCAAACTGAATTTCTACCATTAACTAAGGTGAGATAATGGTAACTCAAACACAATAAATTATGTTCTAATTGTGCATATTAAAACTACTACTAAGACTAGGACAAGGAAATTAACTTGGAATTGAATAGGAAGTAAACCAAACACAATATAAGAGTTTCTTGCCCAATGAAATAAAGATTGATTATCCCAGAAAAATTTCATCAGAGCTCATTACTCAATGGAGGCTTATTTCCTTAAAAAATAGTTTTTCTTTCACAATTGTTTAATGAAATTGGTGACAAATTGTTTTCAAGGTTTCATGGCTGTTCTTGACAGAAACATAATTTCTATTCATGGTAAATGATAACTATATCTAGTTGTTGGTGACAACTAATAAGTAATTGTTCATTGAGCTGTTATTCAAGTCTTTGATTTTTTTTTTTTAATAGAAGAAGAAGCTTTTTTAAGAAAAGAGGGAAAATAAATACAAAGAATTGAGGGAAAGCCATCCTCCTAATTGTAACAGGCTATGTAATGAGCAAAACAAAATAGAGAGATATAATACATAGAAACGTGAGATCCTAAGTGCCCAAAATAATAATCTCTCAATTCCGATGGAGGTAGGAATAGCCATATTGGAGAATTGTCCATGCGCCTTAACCCATAATGTTGTCAAAAATGTAATTCTCTCCTATAGCTCATAGAAAGGCCTATCTTCAAAAATTTTCTGGTTTTTTGCAAGCCAAAGAGTCCATAGACCTGAAAAAACTGCCCCTTTCTGGTTTCCGGTTATTTTTTTTTTCTGGGATTAATTCTTTGTTTGTTGAATTCATGTCAAGTTGTTAGTTTAATGCTTTCCGAGGGATGATTCATGGAACTTATTAACGTTGTTGTATGCTGCTTGTGAATCCATTAGGTTACAAGTTTCTAATTTGATTTAAGTTTCTTATTTAGTTTATTTATAACATGCTTTAACTTATGTTAGCTTTAGCTTGAGAGAGATGTTAGAAAATATGAATATTTCATATATAGTCTATTAGAGAATGATAGGTTATTTCATATAGGTTTTCATATATAGTTAATGTTAATGACTAAATAATACAATTAACTATTTCCTAACAACTTAAACTTTTTTAATAATTAATTACTATTATTTATTTAGAATGGTACAAAACTTAGGGGTTTAGAATTCAAATCAAGGCAGCCAACGGCCAAATATATCTTGATTAAGTTTTAACAAAAGATAATACTTATACTTGATTCACGCTTTCAGCTCAACAATTTTCTTGGCGAGAGGGAGTCTCTCAATCTACAAATGATTACAATTAATTATTTTTCAAGAGAATTAAGCACAATTAATTATTTTGTGGCAATATCATAAATATGCCGTTTTCATTATAGTCAATTACCTATTTAGCCAGATCCTGCAGAGAGTTTTTCCTTTCCTAATTCATAGATATCTCTCTAAATGCATGTACTATTTCTTTGGTGCATAACAAAAACGAAATTTCAATTTACTTTTCTAGCAGTATGTTTGAACCAACATACCATTCCAGCTAACTGAGAAACATCCATAAAAAATGCCAGGAGTGTTGCAAGTATTCCAGTTACTACTGTGCTCTTCATTGGAATTTGAGTGTGTTCATTGATGTCCGAGAAAAATGATGGCAATAATCCATCTCTAGCCATTGCCATCAAGACTCGTGGCTGAAGAAAAAGAATAAAATGCCTGTTATATAGTTTTTACCATTTCACAATTGCATAAAAACTGAGGAAATATCATTCACCTTGACCAAGTTATAATTTGTACCATATGTAGTCACAAAGTTACAAAATAATAAATAAAAATAGACAAAAAATATTGTTGAACATTCAGATACAGATTGAAATTTTATTAAATCGGCTATCAAGCTATTTTGATACTAAACCACCAAGAAATGTATCAAAGTCCTCAAACTTGCAAACGAAAAATATTACCATTTACATACCTGAGGAAGAAGAGAACCCATTAAACTTGAACAAAGTGCAGTTACTGCCCCAGTTGTTAATATATACCTGAACAGATAAAAAATTATGACACATGAAAGCTTGATCTAATTTAAAACTAATACTAAACATTTACTTACGCTGCCCACTGCATCCCATTGTCTTCAAATGCTGAGGAGATAGGAGTGTCCGGATTCAATGCATTGTATGGGACTAACCCAACAATGACAATGGACACAAGCATATACAATACGCAACATATAAACAAAGCCATCCCTATACCCAGAGGCAGATCTCTTTGAGGATTTTTCACCTATCATGAACTTAAAGTAAGAAACCAGATGAAAGAATAGATAGACTGAGAGAACGCCTCATAGAAATAGATTAGGGTGACCAGTCATACATGAGAACTTATTATTACTTACCAGTCAAGAAGTTAAGTGAGTAAAGTAAGGTAGGATTAATCCTCATTTTACCCTTTTAAAAAGAAAAAGAAGGTAAAGGATTTGGCAAACCCCTAATAACATCTCTTAACCTCAATTACCAAACCCTTCAAATTGGAAATTTTGATGGTTTTATAGTTTATTCTATATGACCTTCTCTGGTGAAGTATTTATTTTTGTTACTACTGCATATATTTTTTATATGAAAGAAAATGCTGTCCTATCTGACATACCCCTTTCAATGAGAGTCTAAATCTACAGTAATTTCTAAAATGCTCAATGATTCTATTAATTCAGGCTTTTAGCAATTCCCTCTCAGCAGTCAGATATAGGCTTTAACTTCTGCTCATAAATCAAGGAAGATAAAAAAAGTAAAATGCATCAATTTGTTGAATTTGTATACCGAATTTCAAATACATGAAATGCATACCAAAGTCTAGTTGACAAACCACAGTCTGGAGTTTATGAAGTTATAATAGCAACATAAGAAGACATTTTGCCCTTCAAACCTATAATACTCAAGTCAATCTAGCTGTATGAATCTAAACTCTATCTATATGAACATTAAGTGTAAGCTTTGTGATTGTAAACCACATGAAGCCACACATCTAACTGATAATGTTCTGCTTCCTTCAAAGACAAGTTTCATGTTCTGGCTTGAGCTTGGCCTGTTCTCTGTTAAATCAAGCTCAACTGACTTGCATATCAAGATGAACAAAGTTTTTTCAGGAACAGCTCAACAAGTAGATTTATGTGATAACATGTTATTTACCCATATAAAAAGTCATTGAAAGTTAGTACCTCCTCAGCTGTGCTAGTGACTGCATCAAAACCAATATATGAAAAGAAAACTACAGCAGATCCTGCAAGCATCCCATTTACTCCGAAAGGAAAATACCTATAAAATGAAGGGGAAATATGAAAAAGGAAAAATGGCACCGTAGAAAGATGTCAAATATGGAAGCTTAAGCTAATTACCCACTAGGAAGGTTATATCCAGTCCATCCAGTCTTCATAGCCAAATATCCACCAGCTGTTATAATAAAAAGCATGGCGAGAATGTTCACTGTCGTAACGATAGCTTGGGCCAATGAACTCTGAAAGACAAGAAAATATGCTTAAAATTTTTCAGCTACATTGGAACCAAACTATTATGTAAGGTACCTCCTTTATTCCGGTGCATAATAGCACTGTCACAATAATAACTAAAATTGCTGCACATGGATCAACCACAATACCAAGCCCGGGGATGGTTTGACGGCCTAAGAAAGCAGGAAGTTTATCTCCTCCTCCGAAAAACAGAGCCTAAAATGAACAAAAGAAAGGATATTAAGAAACAAAAAATTGAGGATATCAAATATTCAGCACTGCATGACGAAAATGGAAGACAATTGTAAACTACCAGATTCGGTGATATGCCTCTAGCAACAGCTGAACCACCAATAGTATATTCCAGAATCAGTGCCCAACCAACCAACCAAGCAACACTGAGAAGTGACCAAAGCGAATAAGTTAAAAGTGAAACATAGAGAAGAAAACATCATCACATCTTCAATATCTCTTCCTATATTGCAGCTTAACCAATTTGAGAAAGGAAAAAAAGAAGATTTTAAAAGATATCCACTTTCAGGACTCAGCCCTTAAAAATCTACCTAGTCAAATGTTGGACATCTTAAAATTCTTGTATTGATTCTATAAAAAAAAAAAAGTTTTTGTACGGAAAGTTCAATTAATCAATTACCTAGATATCAAGATTGCAACAAAATTGTTAAGCAAGATGTTTATTTTAAAGCTGAGAATTTTTCCGAGAAAGATTTGAACAAGTTAAATAAAATATAAAGATAAGCACCCACAAAAAGATATTGAACGATCAAAGAGATTTTCTGTTACCTCTCTCCAAGGAAAACATATGTGTAATGATAGGCACTCCCAGCAGATGGGCAGCGACATGCAAGCTCCGCATAACAAAATGCTGAGAGGGCAGCCGCTATTCCAGCAACTAGGAAAGCGATAGCAAGGGCAGGTCCTGTGTGCTCTCTAGCAACTGCTCCAACAAGAATATACACACCAGCTCCAATGGTGGAGCCCACTCCTGAAATGAAACAGTAGCAAACCCAACAAAAATGCAAGTGAAACACATGTTTCTACAAGTTGTATCAGTGAAACCATAAATGCCAAGTAAGAACATAAAGGTCATCAAAGTTTTCAACCTCCTGAAAAACATGAAAGTCCCGAGTACCATAAAACTAACTGAAAAAGTCCTCTATTC